CCCACTTGGAAAACATATAGCTTGTCTTGGACGCGTGGCCGATGGACCGGGAGCTACCTGCGACAGTCGTCGCCCGGGACCCTGGGGGGGGGGGGGATTCGTTAATGATTTAGCTTGCTCCCCGTGAGAAGTCTGCACGGCAATCTAAATGGTCGCTGGCTGGGGCCAGCCGACCGGCCAGAGGGTAGATTGCGAGAGGGGGGAGGAGGAGGAGAGGGAGGAGAAGGAGGAGGAGGAGGAGGAGGAGGAGTTTCTGTTCCCCCCCTCCCCCGCTTCCACCCTTTGGCGCGTTGCCCCGCCGCCCCGCCCCGCCTCGCCGCCGCGCCTGCGCGGGCCTCGCGGCTCGGCTGCTCTGCCGAGAACGTCTCGAGAATGAGATCGCCAGCCAAAGTGCGAATGCGATCCTTGCGCGCGCGGCCCAGCGGGCCAAATCGGCAGAGAACGGCGTGTATCGCGTCTCGAATCTTGAGGCAAGTCAAGTGCTGCACAGCAATCCAAGAGCGCACAGAGCCGTCAAAGTCGTCGCCATCAGCAATCGCAGTCTCGGAATCGCAGCCCAGTTTGAGGGGGCCAAGTTCGTCGCCGTCGCCGCGAGAGGGGGCGCCAGAGACACCGGGGCTGCTTTCCCCGCTCAACCTGCCAGACGCAACGGCCTCTTCAGAGACAGTCTCAACCACTTATGCGACGAGGGCGAAAAGAGAAGACGTACCGGAGACGCGTTCGCATACCAAGGACGTGTCGGGCCTCTGTCCCTCAAGATCGCCATCGCCCATATCCAATTGCATAAACCCATCGTGACCATGAAGATCAGCAGCGCCAATTGGTTCTTGAAGTCCCTCATTGGCCCCCTGGCTGGGCCCCAGGACCTCAGGGCCCCCATCTTCCCTAGCAGCGCGCCCGGGCAATTCCAACGCACCGTTCAGAGACGCCTCCACGCCAGGCTCAAAATCATCGAACAGCGAAATTTCCACAGACAGGTCGTGACCATCTTGACAACATGCGGGTTCTCGAAATCCCTCATCGGCACACTCGTTCCGCCTCAGGACCTCGGGGCCTCCACCTTCCCTGGGCCATCTCTGAGAAGTCAGAACCACATCGAGGAGAGAATCTACATCGTCAGATTCGCTTTCAGAAAGCAAAGAAATACCTGCGGGCACCACGTGTCCACAGTGCCAGAAAACGGCATGGTTGTCTATCCCACTCCCGAGCGCGCGCGCGCAATAGCATTAACTGCCTCACCTCGAATGGGTTTTCGAAGTCCCCCATCGGCCTCGACAGTCGGCCTCGGGACCTCGGGGCCTCCATTTTCCCTATTCTGTCGTTCGGAAGCCGCTCCTGCAGAGAAGTCCGAATCGGCGAGCCCAGGGCGGAAGGTATCCTCCTCGCCGTAGCCCTGGTCGGAAGTGTCCTCCAGCCTGTCCGTGTCGTCGCCGTCGAGGTAGTGAATCTCGTCAATGAAGTCCTCCTGCTCATTCCCCCAGCCGGTTACCCCGATGAGCGCGTCGCCGTCCTCGTAATGGACCTGGTCGATGATTTCCTCCTGCTCCGCCAGGCCGTCGTCATCTCCGCAGGGCTCCACGCAATCGTCAAAGAGAACCTGGTCAATGAAATCCCCCTGCTCCTCCCACCACGCCGGCCTCGTCATGCGCCAAATCGTGCCCCAATTCCCGAAGAACCAAACCTACAGGAGAGTGATGAAGAGCATCCCCTCCGGGCCAGAAGCAAGGGGCATCAGCCCGTAACGGTAGGCCTTCCTTGGGCCCCTGGCAGACGAGCTCGTCAAGGCAGAGAAGTACTCGAGATGGGTTTTGCTCCTTGGGGCGCCATTTGAACTTGCTACCTGCCCCAGGCCAGCGTAGATGCCGAGCAGAGTTCCATTTCAACAATATGCTGCATGGTCCGAATAGCCTCACACAGAAACTGCCCACTATGGATCGCATCCTCAAGCGTTTGACGCAGAGAACGAGTGTGGAAGCCCATGGCCCACCTCCAACGTTCGATGGAGCCGAGCAGCTTGCGCCAAGTCGAACACCCTGCGAACAAAGGTAGGGTCACACGTCTGGGCAACCCCACCCCGCAACAGTTTTGTCCGAAGTGACACGAGAGAGCATGCAGCATAATACAAAACGCCTCGAAATCAAATTTGTTTTTTTTTCCCCAGCTGCCTAAGGGCGCCGAGCGTGAAGTTGACAGCCTTAGCACCACCAGATGCTGGACCACACGTGCGGGGACGGTAAGAAACCATCACAATGAAAACACGTAGACCGAAGGTAACAGATCGCGGCGCCAAGAAGCGTGGAAATGGAAACCGAAAGGCGCAGCCGCGGGCAACCTGCTGGCTCTTGAGCCCAAATGGCTACGGCGAGGAGGAGGAGGAGAAGGAGGAGGAGAAGGAGGAGGGAGGCGAGGAGAAGGACGAGCTGGTGCGCTAGCGTCATATAGATGTTTACCAACGGCGAAATCGGAACATCCACCACTTATTTTGCACACCTTATCCCTGGGATCCCTGATGTTCCAGAACCTTCGGGACCGGAACCTTCGGGTTCGTACGGCCTCTTGCGTTATTATGTATAGTATTGCATTGTCTTTCACCTGGTTGTTTTCCGACGGATGTGCACAAACATGGTTCCGCAAACATTGCGCTGGCGAGCATTGTTCTTCTTGGCATTTGGTTGCATTGCATCGCATTGTCTTGCCGTCCATCTGCTTTGCTTGTCGCTGCATGGCGCTCGCATCTGGTTTCCATGGCACTGCGTGCCATTGCAGTGACAGTGTGGGCACTCCATTCTGAACATTCTCTTCACTGCTTGGCATCGGTTCGAATTGTCTTTTATGGATGTGCCATTGCCTATGATCGATCTCTGTTCGGCCCGCGTTTCTTGACGCTTCGGCGTGCCTCAAATTCATGCAATTTCTGAATATATAACTATTTCAAAAGATCCGTGAACTAACCACGGCCTGGGGCTTGTTAGCACCTAAGCGCGCGAAGCGCGCGCGTGGATCCAGTACGAGGATGGAGCACGGGTCGTTCACAAGGTTGGACTCTCGCCTCAACGCCGCCAGCTTTCGTCGCAAAAACGTGAAACCGTTGAGAAGCTGAAGAACGTTCTTGTCCAACACTGGGCTCTCGCTCCATCAAGACCCGAGGCTGCACCTGTAGCACCTCACGGATGAAGGGCGGCTCTGGCTCAAAATGGAGTTATCGTTTCAGACGTGACTGATAGTCATGACAACAAGTGCGAACTTGTGCAACGGCTATCAGCAAAAGAGGCACTCTTTTTTTCGAATGGATGGATTCGCTGGACACCTCTTGAACTGCATTATCACGGCTTCTCGTGTTCTTGGCCATACGCCATATGGATGCAAGGCAGTTCCTTTTCAACATAAGGCTCTCGCCAACATGGCAACTTTCAATGAGGTGCTTCCTGCAATGGAAAGGACGGCTCGACTCGTCATTCCCAGCCCCCGCAATCTGCCGCCAACTCCACTTCCTCCGCCGCCTCCTCCTGATTCCCCTCCTCCTCCTCCTCTTATTCTCACCCTCCTCCTCCGCCTCCTCCTCTTTCTTCTTTCTCTTCCTCCTCCACTGACCCCTCATTATCATACATTATCCTCTTCCTCTTCCTCCTCCTCATTTTCCTCCTCGTTCCCCCCTCCTACTGATTCTCACCAGGTGTCCGGCTCCAGGCAACTCGGCGCCAGTCCCCAACCTGCCAAAATCCGGCATGGGGCTGCAAGGCGTCTCGCCACGGCAGGGCGCCGATCTCGGAGAAGAGCAAAAACAGTACAGTAGGATCTCGACCAGCAGAACCTTCCACAAGAAACCCAATCCTTGGACCCCAGGGCGTCCATTGATATTTGGTGTGGGAGCGCCACGCTTTCCACAGCAAACCATCGAAACCCAAGAAACCTAGGGCATCCTGGAGGCAAGCAGGGTGTTTCTTGGCATGGGTTTCCACTGTAAGGGCAGTGGCCAGCCGAATGGCTCGCACCAGCATGCACGCACTGGCACTGAGCGATTCGAGTCGAGTCGAGATCGATCAAACCGACCTTGTCCTCCATCCGCTCGGGAAGAGCACTGGACTCCGCCATTCCTGCCTCCACCCCTCTGTTGACTACTCTCCAATTCTCCTTCACGGAGCGAAACTGGGAGTTCTACGAGGTGGCTTCAAGCCTGGAGCGGTGCGCTGCTGCTGGCAGTCTCGGATACCCTGCGGCGGGCTGCGCCTCAAGCGTACAAGCATGAAAGCACGCACCCCCCCCCGTGCTGCGCGACCTGGCGCAGTGCAAGAGCGCCACCGCGCAGGGGCACTTCGTCGCCCAACAGACGCGCTCGTGGGCACCACGCCGACCCAGAAAAGGGTGAATGGGCGGGCTGAGGTGCCTTACCCCGCGGCCGGGACCGAGCTAGCGAGGGAACCGAGCGTCAGTCTGCGAGGAGCGGGGACGACGACGACGACGACGACGAAGCCGATGACGATGACGACGACGGCGAAACGACGACGACGAGGAACGACGACGACGACGATGATGAACGACGACGAGAAACGACGACGACGACACCTCGGGTCGCTTTAGGGCGTCGCTGGCCATCTCTGGGCATCCTGGATCCCCTGGTGGGGAAACTTCTCCAGGACCTCTCTCGGGGCGCGTTCTGCACAGGACCTCGTCAAGGTAAGCCAGGTCACGAGGGCCTCCCAGGAGAGAGAAGAATAATCAATAGTCCAGACAGACTCGCTGTGCGATAATAACAGCACGGAAAAACGTCACAAGACTATTTGCTTGACAATTGTTTCGGATATTCTTCCTGTAGAGAGACATGCCCGACTTCGCGGTACTCTCCCTCTGCAGGAACCAAAGCGTACCGATACCGCTGTTCCCCGGACCTCTCCCGGGGCGCGTTCTGACCAAGACTTCGAAACAAATCCAGCGGTGGCGACGAGGGCTACCCAGGAGGCCTATAAAGGGTTCCTCCTCTGAACGGCGACGGCGGCGCGCGCCTGCCCAGCAGCCACGCCGGCAGGTCGGCGTCCGCCAGGGTGCTCCGGCACGTCTGCGAGGGGCGAGGGGGGCGAGGCCAGCGGCGGCCCTCTCACTGGCCAGCGGCGCTGCTCCTGCCGCCTGCTGCTCGGCTTACAGTCGACCCGTATAGTACAGTCGGCACGTGTCCAAAGGATGCGCGATAAGGATGCAAGGGCGTTGGAAGGCCATGTCGACACTCTGCGAGCGGGGCGCGGCCAGCGAAAGCAGCCAAGGATGGGCGAGTTGGGGCAAGGATGTAAGAATATCCTTGGGAAGGCTGCCCATCCTTACCATGCGGCTTGACTGTAGGTCGGGCATGTCCTCCTACAGGCGGATTTTGATAGAACGAGAAACATAGCCAACAAGTAGCCAAAAATAGCAAACAGAGAACGAACAAAATCGTCCCCAGACGATGCTTCAACTATTCTTGAACACTCTTACTGTAGACGAAAGACGTACCCGACTTAATGCTCGGCGGCTCTTCCTCCCGGTTCCCTCGAGGGGGAAGTTATGGTGGTGGGGCTGCTCCAGAGGGAGGGGGCATCGAGCTGGAATCGGCGATGCGTCGCCCACCGCGCTACCAGGAGGAACACGGGAGCGAAGAGGCTCTCCTGGCCACGGCGGGCCTCGACTACATAGGTGCCCCGACCTGAGCCCCTCCCGAGCACAAAATGGTCCTCACTTCAACGTCTTGACTGCAGGCCCCGACAGCGAGCCCAAATACTCTCCTGGGCCGGGTGGGCCCTCGGGCGCCCATCGGAGATCAGTGGGCGCTCGGGGGTCGATGCCTCCCCCCTGAGCCTACAGTACTCGACCACAAGAAACCTTCCACAAGAAACCCAATCCTGAGACCCCCAGGCGTCCACTGATTTTTGGTGTGGGAACTTCACGCTTTCCATGGCCAAAGCATGGGAACCCAAGAAATCCAGGGCACCCTGGAGGCAAGCAAGGTGCTTTTTGGCAGGGGTTTCCACGGGATCTCTCCCCCGAAACGTTGCCCCTGACTCTCTCCATGACCAGCTGCTCCTGCCGCCCGCTGCTCGGCCGCGCTTCCTCCCTGTGCCTGCTGCTCCGGCTCGTCCCTGCTGCTGCTGCTGCTGCTGCCGCTGCCGCCCGCGCCGTTGCGGATCGCAGGCGGGGCTGGCGCCACCTGGCTACGTTCTGTGGCAACGCATGGGAGCCTCCCATACCATCTTGTCGGCTCTTGCTCGTCGACGCTAATCGACGCTAATCTACGCTAGTCGACGCTACATCGACGCCAAATCGACGCTAAATCGACGCTTAATCGACGCTAAGTCGGCGCTATCTCCGCTGATCGATGCTAACCTATGCTAGAGATGGAATTGAGAGGGTATTCCAGGATCCCATGATTTGCGAACGTCCCCGAAGAGCTCGCGGCAGTCCAAAGCTGGGGCTTGGACCCGCGGCCCGGCTCGCGGCGCGGCAGCAAAAAAGCCAGACTGCAGCTGCTGCTGCGCCGCCTCTTCCTCATCCTCCGCGTGGTTCACCCCGTTCTGTCCCCCCTGTACAATCCATGTCTTGCCATGAGGAGCGCTGGATGAGGAACATACCTCATTGCGAGCGTCAGTTGCGCATGAATGTGCGAGGAGCGACAGAGGAAGGTCCGTGAAAAAATCCACGGCACATCGAACCCAATCGGAAGCCAACCTGAACATCATCCCAGAAACAATTGACTGTAACTATTCGTCGACCCGTACCTGTCCGATCCTGACATCCCTATCCTGAAAACACGCATCGTGCCAGAATGCATGCCGACCAACGCGACTGACAGAGAGATGGTAGACCAACGATCGCTCCGTGACAATATACATGGACAGTTGGCATTAAGGGCGGTAGGAGGGGTGAGGGGAAGAGAAGACAAAAGAAAGGGAAAGAAAGGGATGAAACGAACAAGGAAAATGTAAGCGGACGCCGAGGTGGAGGCAAACGCGAGGCAGAGGAAAGAGGAGTGCAAGGAGGGGAAGGAGGAGGAGTAAGCGAGGAGTAGGGGGATGAGTGGAGGGAAAAAGGAGCAAGGGCCAGAGGGGGAGAACAGCAGAAGGGCCAGGAGGAGCAAGGAACAGGAGCAGGAGCAACGGTGACGACGACCACGACGACCTCGACGACGACGACGACGACGACGCCGACGACGTGAACGCCCGCCGCCTCGTCGCTTCCACGCTCGTCCCCGCAGTCCAGGAGAAAATCCCCCAAGGGGTCCTGCGAGGCGCTCCAGGAAGGGGCACCAACTGAGGCTAACGATCACGACGCGAGGCGGATGATAGTGGCGGGGCAGACATGGGGGAAGAGGGGAGGGGAGGAGAGCAAGGGCAGGAGAACCAGCAGCAACACAAGGGGAGGGGAGAAGCAACAGCAGAAGCAGAAGGCAGGAACGCTTGCGGGGCGTGAGGAAGAGGCGCGAAGAAGAGTACATGGGCAGGAACAAGGGAGCGAGCGATTCAAGCAGGCGTGTCGTCGAACTGCTGGCACGATGTGGCATCAGAGGCCATGTCAGCCTGTGAAGACAATGCGGCATAACGCGAACCACGAACCACTCATATGACAAACAACTATCACAACAAGGCACCACGTTCTAGGGCGGCACATAGTCCCGCATGCAAGCCCGCTTGGGAATGCCCGTTCGACGAACGCGAGCCGCATGTACACGCACGTGCATGAACATACATACACACATACATATATATATATATATATATATATACTAGAACCATCGCGCGCTTCGCGCGCGCTCAGGTTCTAGCCCAGGCCGGGGGGGCGCTGGACGATCTTGGACAACGCTGTCAAGCACAGGCGCGCGACGGCATCTCAGGAGCTTCTGGGGTGTTCCGCATGCTTCGTCAACTGGCTGTGGGAGGCACCTCTTGGGTGCCTCTTGGGGGGGTGTCTGAGGGTCCCTTGGGGGCATCGGTTCTGCAATCTGAAGCCGACATTGGCCGTCTTGGCTGCGTGGAAGCCCGACTTGAGGCCACCTGCGGCCAGATTGAGGCAATCCGGAAGCCTCCCGGGGGCCTCCTGGAAGCAGTTTTGACGCATCGAGGGCACTCTTGGGCTATTTCAAAACCTCTTGGACGTCTCCTAGGGCCTTTTGGGGCCCTCGGGAAGCTTTTTGGGTCCTCGTCGGACCACTTGGGGGCCTCTTGCGGCCTCCTGTGGGCCTTTTTGGGGGGAACGCTCTGCTGTTGGGTCGCGTTCCCCTTCTTGGGCCTCTCTTGGGGCTCTTGGGGCCCTCTCGGGCCGTCTTGGGCACCTCAAGCACCGTCTTGGGGCCCTCGAGGGCCGTTCTGGGGCCCTCTTGGAGGCCTCTTCCTCTATATCGGACCGGTATTGGAAGCCTCTTGGGCCGTCTTGGAGCATCGGGATGCCAAAAGGCCGACAATAAATAAAACCCGTCAAAGCCCAATCGTAAAACAATGAGTTGTGCCTCTTGGGGCCACCTCGGGAGATCTCTTGGAACCTCGTCGGCCCTCTTGGGAGCTTCTTGGGGGCCTCTTGGATCCGATTGGGGGCCTCTTGGGACTTCCCGAGAACCTCTCGGGGTAGAAAGCTCGGATTCTCGGTTCGTGTTTCCCTTCTTGGGCCTCTCTTGGGGCCGTCTTGGGGCCCTCTCGGGCCGTCTTAAGCGCCTCAGGCACCGCCTTGGGGCCCTCGTGGGCCGCCCAGGGCCCTCTTGGAAGCCTCTTCGGCTATCTTGGAGCTGTCTTGGAGGCCCCTTCCTCCTTTTCGTCCCCCTCCTCCTCCTCCTCCTCCTCCTCCCACTCCAGCTCTCTCTCCTCCTGATCTTCCTCCTCCTCCTGCAGCGTGTTCCGGAAGGCTCCAGCCGGAACATGCTGTGCACAAGTGCTGTCACAGCTCCCGCCACCGTGCCCTGGGTGGTGGGTCAGAGGCCTCATGGGTTTGGATCCCGTGGTTGGCCTGTCGGGGACGTCGTGAAGGCACTTTCGCAGCTTCTCGGTAGCCGTTGTGGGACCTTTGTGGGGCCTCGTCGGGGCTGTTTTGTGGCCTCTTTAGGCCTCGTTTGGGCCTCCTGGGTGCCTCTTGGGGCCTCTTCGGGGCTCCTTGGGGCCTCCTGGGGCACTCTTCAAGCGGGAGGGTCGAATTTTGGAACCGTGGTCCCCCTCTTGGGCGCATCTTGGGGCCGTCTTGGGGCTCTGTTGGGCTGTCTTGGGCGACTCTGGGGCCGTCTTGGGGCCCTCTTGGGCCGTCTTGGGGCGCTCTTGGGGGCCTATTGAGCCGTCTTGGAACGCCGGACAGCCGAAAAGGCTGGAAGGCCAAAATCGTTCGAAAACCTTAGTAAGATTGACGATTTCGGCCTCTTGAAGCGCTCTGGAGAGGCGTCTTGAAGCGACGTGGAGTTCCTTGGGGGGCATCTCGGGCCGTCTTGGGCCTATCTTGGGCGTCCCGGAGCGGTCTTTCGGCGACTCGGGGCCCGCTTGGGCCGTCTTGGGAGCCTCTGGAGGCCCTCCTGGACTATTTTGGACCTCCCACGCCGTCCCGTTCTCCCACGGGGGGTCGGAGGCGGCGGCCTCCGAGGCCCAGGACGCGGAAACCCTACATAGGGAAAATGAGCCCCGGTACTCCGATGGAGGGTCGATGCATCTGTTTTCGGGCCCCAGGCCTGCCCCCCGTGACATATATATATATATATATATATATATACATATATGTATGTATGTATGTATGTATGTATGTATGTATGTATGTATGTATGTATGTATGTATGTATGTATGTATGTATGTATGTATGTATGTATGTATGTATGTGTGTATATATGTATACACACATATATATACATACATATTAATATTACTATTACTATTACTATTACTTTATATATTTATGTTAATATTAATAGTCATGTGTGTATGTACGTGTATACACACATGTATGCATACCTCTCTATATATATTTAGAGAGAGGTCTGTCACTTACTTGTACACGTATGCGTGTGCAAACTGCCGCGGGATACCCGAGTCCAAACATGTTCGAACATGCTCGAACCACTCGGGCCTCCGCCTGCGGAGCCATTCCCTCCTGCGCCTGCACACTGTGAAGCGTTGCACCCACAGAGCAGCTGTGTAGGCCTTGCAAAGAAGCGTGACCCCGAGCGCCATGTGCGGGGCTTTGGAAATCCATGCTCGCCCCCGGGGGACCAACCACAAACGCGCAAGACGCTATTACCACATCGCGTTCGGCGATCGGGGGACCCCAGTGGACCCGCACCAGCGGTCATTGTGGCGAGTGGCCACTCCTAAGCGTAGTCGACTAGACCGCCCCGAAATGGCCCCACGACAACCCCCAGCCCGTTCTGGAGCCCCTCGAGACCGCCCGGGCACCGCAGGGCCTACAGCCAACCCGTATCATAAGGATGCGCGCTAAGGATGCAAGGGCCTTGGAATGCCGTTTCGACGCTTTGCGAGCGGGGCGCGGCCAACGAAAGCGGCCAATGATGGACCGAGAAGGCTAGGATGCAACGGTGCCCTTTGGAAGGTTCCCCTTTGCTGTGCGGGTTGACTGTAATCAAGGCCCCCTGCGGCTCCCAGAGCCCTGACAACTTTTTGGGCTCCCACGAAACAAACATAGACGGCGAACCTGGGGCGACGATGGTGCTGGCAAGATGCACCTACCAGAGCCGGAATCCCGTGAGGGCCAGCCTGCGATAGGCGAGCCAACACGCGAAAACTTGGCCTGTGCAGAAACATGTGGCGAGATGCGAAAGGCTCGCGGGCTGCCTTGCCCAGTTTCGACACCAGGGGATTGGGGGGGGAGGAAGCGTGGAAGCCAAAGAGGCCATCGGGCGCATCGGATGCTCAAAACCCAGACACCAGCTAAAGTAAACAAACATCGGCAACAAGGAGGGGCGAGGAGGAAGAACAACGCAGCAAGCTCAAACACCGAGCAGCCAGCTCGCGCACGCTGTGGTTTCCCCTACAGCTCGACGCGCAAGCGAGATGGGGGCTGGCGGGCAGCCGCCCTGGATAGCCACGCGACTATATGCGCTGGCTGCGTCAAGTGGCCTGGCCGTCTAAACGGGCAACTGCCGTGGCCGTGGCGCACATCGCTGGCGCAGCACGGGGGGGAGGGAGAAGGACAATGAGGAAGAGTCATAGAGTCATGGACCCAGGAAGTGCGCGGTGCACACCGCACGCGGGCGGGATGCAATGGCGGGCAACTGGCACCCTCGGCCCCCTCATTTCGGGAGGAAGCGGGCCCGAAGGCGCTCGCACCGACGAACAGGGGACCGCGGGCGCTATGGGTGGGGATGGGGGGGGGAACGGCGGAGGGGGCATAACGTACCCCCCCCCCCAGACTGTGGTGCTGGACGCACTGCGGCAATGCCAAGGGTGCACTTAGGGGGGGAGCGTTACGTACGTTATGGGGGGGAGGAGGGGTGGGGGGAGCGTAGGGGGCATACCGCGCTCTATGGCCCAGAGGGTAAACAATAACACTCTCCAGGAGGAGGCATCAGAAGTTGGGCGCACGCACTCGCCAACCTATACATATACTGGTTTCGGGAGCGGGCGCGCCGGCCACTGGCCTCCTAGGGCCAAGGAGCCTGACCCACCCAGATGTCCGTAGGATTCGGTCGGGCATGTCCTCCTACAGGCGGACTTCGGATGACACATAAAAAACTGACAACAATACTCAAACATAGCCAAAACACACGAACAATCGTCCCCATGCTATCTTTTGATAAACCGTCCTCCTGTAGAGAAACATACCCAACTTAAGCGTAGGATAGAGACGATTCCCTCCGGGGGAATGGCCCTCACGTCTGTTCAGTCAATACCTGAGCGGAGATGGCAAAACGTGAGGGAACGAGGACAGATTGGGCACGCACGCTTGCATCCACATGCCAAGACCAGTTAAAGCGCCAAGGCTCGCGAGAGCGTCCACTGGCCGCTCGCCCCAATGAGCGGCAAGCCGCTTCTATTCCCTCACGCGCAAAAAAAAACCACGCACGCCGAGACAAAGCAGGAGGTGGCACGTGTAGCTGCCCTCCCCGCTCTCGGCCTCGGCTTAGGGAGTTGGCCCTGTACCGAGCCGATCGGGAACCGCGCCCGCGACGGTGCGATCCCGAATGAGTTCTTGCCAGAATCTCGAGGCGGGGCAAGCAGCCCGCGACGAGAAGCCTCACAGATGCCCAACAAGACCCAAAAGAGCGAAACAACATCGATCCTCGAGCCCAGAACAGGACGGA